GGCCTGAGCAGCTCTTGTGGCTGAATGGGAGTTTCCAAAATCTGATTGGGGGCCCTTCCAAAAGAATGGTGGCTATAATAGCAGCATAATAATGCCCATAGTTCTGGAAAGACATGTTTAATTATCAGATATGAGTGTAGTGAAGGTGTCCACTTGTAGTATATCTACGCAATTATATCTTATCTGTTCTCAATAATTAGTTCAGCCTGAAATCTTTTTTGTGCAGAGAGAAAAATTGGACTTGCTGACAGGGTTTACAAATGAAAGTAGCAGTCAGATAAGCACCACATTTCAGACATAAATCACCAAACCATTAAAAGACTAGAATTAGTGCTTTGTGGTTGCATGCCTCCGTGAACCAGTCAAGTTGCACTTACAGTTTACATCCATGTCTGTGAAAAAAAATGAATGCTTCACACACATCATCCCCCCGGCAGCACCCGAGCACCCTGTGAACAGATCAGAGTCAACAATTAAGTATCTGACCAAACGTCTCCCTCTATTCCTGAGATATGATTTTGAGTTATGGCCAGAAAAAATGTTTGTGCAGTACACTGTGATGTCACAGTGAAGTTAACCTTTGACCTTTCATGGCTTCATCATTATATCCTAGTAGACATTTGTTTGAAATTTTGTCATAATTAGCAAATACATTCTTGAGTTGCAGCCAAAAACATGTTTTGTGAGGTCACAGTGACCTTGACCTTTAACCACCAAATTCTAATAAGTTTTGTCAATAACTTCAAGTAAATGTTTGTGCCAAATTTAAGGAAGTCCCCTCAAGACCTTCTTGAGATATTTCATTCATGAGAATACAGCTAACAAGGTCACAGTGACCTTCCAAATTCCAGTGAGTTCATCTTTGACTCAAAGTGGACAGTTGTGCCAAATTTGAAGAGTTTCCTTTAAGGTGTTCTTGAAATATCACCTTTACGTGAATGAAATAGATGCAAGGTCATGGTGACCTTGACCTTTCACCTTTGACCAATAAAATCTAGGCAGTTGATCAATAACTCAAAATGAATGTTTGTGCCAAATTTGAAAAAAGACGTCCCTCAAGGGAGACAGACATGTTGACAGTGATCTTTACCTCTGATCTATGGCCACCAAAATCTAATGAGATGGACGTTTGAGCTAAATTTGAGGAAATTCCCTCGCAGCATTCTTCACATATCACATTCATGAGAATTGGATGGACAACTGTCCGTCCAATTCTATCTATCCCAAAAACATAATGCCTCCAGGCCAGGAATACTGCTGGTGCCGAAGCATAAAAATAATCTTTTAGGGAATTATCAGCGCATTAACAGCTCACATTATAACATACTTACACACACACACACACACACACATACACACAAAACTACAAATGATGATCTGGTTCTTTTTGTCTCAGCACTCAAACAGTCGTTTTGTATTGTAGACCTTGGATATGATTTATCTTTCTCAGAACTTTAGAATAACTTAAAATCTTCCTGCTTGAGAGTTGTCTTAAAAGAATGTAATTAAATCCATAATTAAAGTCATAGTTGGACAAGTGTGTGTCTGAGTAAAAACTTGCCAGACATATCATCATATTCATCGCTCTCATCTTTTGAAAACCTCAGTTTATTGTTTGAGCATGGGTTTTTTGTGCAGTTTTTATGCACCCGCTGGGACTTAATACGACCTTATAATACCCGTTTTCCTCCTACCATATGTGATTCTTACATTAATTTTATTATCTTACCTTCTTTTATTGTCTTTTTCTTTCATTGCCCAATTCCACTATCCTGATAGGAACTCAAGCCAATGAATATATGAATAAATGAATACGTAAAAGCCTGAATATCAATCATCTCCCTTCCTCTTGCATGGCTACAACTTGTTTACCAAGCGCATTAAACTGAAGGTCATGCTTTTGTTCCTTTGGTGGGCTATTGGTCTTTTTGATTTTTTTTTTGATTAATATAACCTAGCAAATAATTAAGAGGCAAAAACAAAAGCAAAAAAATTGAATTAAGTTATGATGACACATTCAAGATTGCTGCATGCATCACAAAGCTCAATAATGCACACACACATACACACACACACACACACACACACACACACACAGTCCATATTCCCCAGGTTGTTGGTAATGTGTTTGCTTTGAATTCTACACCTGCTGTTCTGACTTTCATACAAAACACAAAGACACAAATTATTAGCAACACAGACTCAATCATTTTTAATGGTCACTTAGATTTTCACCTATGTTCCCAGAGGATGAATATGACTGAATTTTAAGACTTTTAATCGTTAACATTGGTATGTTGATGTAATAAAGCCTCAGTCATGCTTTCCACACAGACAGTGGCACGGACATCAGCTGATGTGATGACAAGAAAATGTTTGGATCTTTTATATTCCGTGCGGATTTTACCTCACAGCAAACTAATACACTTCCAACAGTGGGTGGCAGTGTATCGAAAACTCACATCTACAGAACAGTTCTCTACGGGATGCACATTTTTTTCCTCAGATGGTAAAGGCATGATCTACGCTACTCTGCCTTAAGACTCTGACATCCTCTCCACATTAAACCGTCATCCTACTGCCGACATCAGGTGAAAGTGAAACTAAGAAGATTCTGCTGAGTCCAGAGTGAATGTCCGTTGAATATCAAACCAACTTCGATGTGGTGAGGCGGCTGCAGCTGGCTTGACACCAGTGTTTTGGTTTTGGACTTGAGTGTGGAGCAAGAGATTGGAGCATGCATGGTTGGCAAACACTCATGGCCCTTGCAGAGGCCTTTGAGATTATTGCTAAAATGGCACTCTAAATGTTAATATTGTTAAACCAACATTCTAGTATTACATGCTAAAAATTAGCATACTAAAATGCTCACTTTATGTATGTGTTATAAGCATAAATCACACTATCACAAATCATGTGACAGATGTAATTTTCACTGTTTGGCGACTACCAAAATTGACCTCAAAGCCTGGTGCACTTCCTGAAAGCTGAAAAAAAAAAACCGTACTGGGTTGTTTGTAATTGGTTTAAACCAATCACAATCATCTCAGACGGCACTAAGCCCAGACTGCAGCAACAGTGCTCCTGCAAAATAATGTCGGGAGATGGCATAACATTAGGTTTTCTCCACTGAAAGAGCATCCTAGAGGGCAACTTATCATGTTATCTCCATTTAAGGGCATCCTAGAGGGCATAACATCAAGTCTTCTCCACTGAGAGAGCATCCTAGAGGGCATTACATCAAGTTTTCATCACTGGAAAGTTACTCTAGAGGACAATTTATCACTTTATCTCCACTTATGGGCATCCTGAAAGGCATTACATCACATTTTGTCCAATGGAAGGGCACCCTAGAGGGCAAAACATCAGGTTTTCTCCAGAGGGTACTTTATCATGTTATATCCATTTAAGGGCAACCTAGAGGCCATAACATTGTGTTATCTCCACTGGAAAGGTACCCTTAGAGGGCAATTTATCATGTTATCTCCATTTAAGGGCAACCTAAAGGGCCATAACATCATGTTTTCTCCACTGAAAGAGCACCCAAGACAGCAATTTATCATGTTATCTCCATTTAAGGGCAACCTAGAGGCCATAATGTCACATTTTCTCCAATGGAAGGGCACCTCAGAAGGCATAACAACATGTTTTCTCCACTAGAAAGGCAGCCTAGAGGGCATTACATCAAGTTTTCATCTCTGGAAAGGTACTCTAGAGGGCATTATATCACATTTTCTCCAGTGGAAGGGCACCTCAGAAGGCATAACATCATGTTTTCTCCACTAGAAAGGCAGCCTAGAGGGCAATTTATCATGTCATCTCCATTTAAGGGAAACCTAGAGGGCATAACATCACATTTTCTCCAATTAAAGGACACCCTAGAGGGCATAACATCAAGTCTTCTCCACTGAGAGAGCATCCTAGAGGGCATTACATCAAGTTTTCATCACTGGAAAGTTACTCTAGAGGACAATTTATTACTTTATCTCCACTTACGGGCAACCTGAAAGGCATAACATCACATTTTGTCCAATGGAAGGGCACCCTAGAGGGCAAAACATCAGGTTTTCTCCAGAGGACACTTTATCATGTTATCTCCATTTAAGGGCAACCTAGAGGCCATAACAATGTGTTATCTCCACTGGAAAGGTACCCTAGAGGGCAATTTATCATGTTATCTTCATTTAAGGGCAACCTCAAGGGCCATAACATCATGTTTTCTCCACTGAAAGAGCACCCAAGACAGCAATTTATCATGTTATCTCCATTTAAGGGCACCCTAAAGGGCCATAACATCACGTTGTCTCCACTGAAAGAGCACCCAAGACAGCAATTTATCATGTTATCTCCATTTTAGGGCACCCTAGAGGCCATAATGTCACATTTTCTCCAATGGAAGGGCACCTCAGAAGGCATAACAACATGTTTTCTCCACCAGAAAGGCAGCCTAGAGGGCAATTTATCATGTCATCTCCATTTAAGGGCAACCTAGAGGGCATAACTGTTTTTACTTTTGTTTGTTGTTTGTTTATTTGTTTGTTTACTCATGGGGCACCAAGGGGGCATACATCATATTGTTAGCTATTAGATTATTCTCCAGGCAGCAAAAATATAAATTTCAATTCAAAATACAAAATAGGGGGATAAATAAAAAAAATGATATTGTTGAAAAAATTAGGACTTTAACTGAATGTAAATTCATCGTGCTTGGTGTTATGTGATCTTTTATTTTGAAGGCATCGTCGCGTGAAAGCAGCTCTGTGTGAGCTTCCTCCACCTGTCGCCTTGCTGAGACAGGAAATCACATTCCAGTGAGTCCACAGATTCCTGCCACAGTTTCACGCCTCCCCACGGGGAAGCGGTGTAAATACTGTGTTGCCTGGTTGGAGAGAAATCCTCCTTTGCAGCAGCAGACTGTGGAGCGCTGTGCTGTAGTCCTGGCGTGCAGGCAGGATTATTTGAGGGATAGAAGGACCCGGATCTGGACACCTTGAGGATCACAAGTATCAGCTGGAACGGATCTGAAAGCACGGTAGTGCTGAGGAATAAATGACTGAAGAAGATGAGAAAAGGGCGTTTATTCTTTGTGTTCATACATCGCTGGATGGGTGACAATTTGTAATGATTGTTCGTCAGGTGTCAGATGATCTTCGCTCCTCTTCCTGGAAACCATCGCGGTGGATTTATGCAACAAAAGGAGAGAAAAGCACAGACGCTTCCTTCTTCCACCTTCAGAGGATTGACGGCTGGCCTGACATCATTGGCTGCTCGTTGGGAATGAATCATCGCCTTCATCAGGGGGGGTCAGGGATGCTGTCACTGTCACTGCACCCTTAAAATACCACAGGCAAACCCACACGTACACAAACCCACCCAGACCCTAGTGCGTGTCCGCGCTCTGAGATTATAAAGCCGCTTGTTTTCTGGAGGCAGCATGGAGGAAATCCTGCGAAAGCTGCAGAAAGACGCGTCCGGCCACAAGCACAAAGCTATCCGCGATGCCTGCGTCTACGCCTGCGGTGAGTTTACCACAGCCCCCCCTCCCCACCACCACCCCCGGCTCTCCGGTTGCAGGAGGGATGCGACTGTATACACTTCCTAGCTTTTAGGAAACATGGAGCGGCTGCATTAATCCCACAGGCCAGAATTATATCTCAAACCATGGTGTAGGAATATCACAAGGGAAAACCAGTGTTTCTTACAAGTTGAGAATCGATGCAAGGTAGTCAGCCTCACAGACTGACGGCAGGGTGCAGGTGATTTACGTGTCCATGTGCTGGAGGGAACCTCCATCATCCAAAACAGGAGGTGCACCTGCTGTTTTTAGGTGCTGGCTTTTTGTGAGCCCAGCTGGGAACTGGGAGATAGCATGCATTTAGAAAAGTAATTTTTCCAAAAAAAATGGCACATAAATGCACCATTCTGGCAGACTTTTCTATCAGTTTACACTTTAAACTGCAGAAATAATTGAGATGCAGACTATACTTCTTATTTATTGGCTTGTAAAGTGTGTGGACAAACCTTAAACAACTTAAAAGTACATCCATTTTTTTCAAATTCCTAATTTCATAGCTGAATTTAGGGTGCAGCGAAGGAGCCAGTTTGTTTAAAGGTCCCGAAATTAAATTGTCTATACGTTTAATCGTAAATTTGAGGCCAACAAACAATGTGCACACATCTTATGTAGGTGCGCATGTCATCAACAAGTATGCAATAACCTCGATTAACTAGCTGCATACTTAAGGTTACTGTGGCAGTGATCATGGAGAACATAAGAATTATTGAAACATAAGATCACTATAAAAATACTACCACATCACAGATGCAGATCCATCCAGGAATATGTACAGTGTATAACAAGGATTTATGAATGTAGTGCTTGGAGCTTTATGTATATTGTTAAGTGGCTGCTATAATAAATATTTCACAGGCAGTCATGATGACATCATGCATAACACAGCTTACTCGTGTATTTTAAAGATTGTGCTTTCAAAGAGGATCTGAGGCTGTCAGTCCTTAAAGATGCTGACATATCTAATGAGAGCTTGAATGCGATTTGAAGGAATATTATGTCAGCAAGTATGCAATAACCTCGATAAACTGTAGCTGCATACGTCAGTTTACTGTGGCAGTGATCATGGAGAACATAAAAATGATATAAAGCACAGTAAGATCACTATAAAATACTACTGAGTATCACAGAGATTCATACAAGGCTTGGGGCTTTGTGTATATTGTTAAGTGGCTGTTATAATAAATATTTCACAGGCAGTGGTATGATGACATCATGCATAACACAGCTTACTCGAGTTTGTGCTTTTAAAGGGGATCTGAGGCTCAATCCTTTAAAAAAAACGCCCAGGTAATGACGGCGTAAACAATCATCAACGCTGACATTCTTGCTGACTCACTAGTCCTCTCTTACCCCACTAAAAGGATTGTAAAAGGGTTGTTAAAATTAAAATAATTTCCATGACTTATCTTCCACACACAGAGACCATGGAGAACCCTTTCAAGAGGTTTTCAGACTTTGAATAGAAACTCTCCCCAAGTCTCATTACTGTCTGTCTGCACAGCTCAGTGCTTCAGCCCGCAGTTCTCTCCTCAGCGAGAAAGAAAAGCCTTCGAAACAGCGTTCGGAATATGTCGCACTAAATTGGTTGGAAACAGTCCCAAGGAGAGCATATCAAACACCATTAAAGTTTGTGGAAAAAAGCAGTTTCCACTGACGTCAGTGCGGATATAATTAGTATTAACGGGCATGATGGGCCAGCCTGACCTTTCAGTTCAGCAGGTGAGACAGCAAGTACAGAATAGGCTCACATTGTGCTGACGAAAGGACAATCATGTAATCTTACACACACACTGAATTAATGCACACACACTGCAAGGGCATGTTAAAACCTAACACAGACTCAGGACCCTGGACCTGTGCATGTGCCTGCATATATGCGCACAAATGCAAAGTGTATGCATAAAGTAAGGTCTAAATTGTGACATATTAAATACAGACAATATCCCATGCGCTATATTTTACTTATGTCTGCACTTAGACTGACGTGGATCGATGTGGATGGACTTCATCAGCCAATTAAATGTTTTACAGAATGCCTTGAAATGTTTGGAGATACGCCCATAACATCAATCAATGTGCAGCTCATAGTTGTCTTGATGTGAAGCAGACATCTCAAGTGAACGCACGCACACACAGAGCCAGGGCACAGATTTGACTTCATACAGCGCAGAGCAAGGACACAGCTACTGTACACTAAACCTTGAAGCACATATGCAACATGACAGTCTGTGCGGAGTAACAGGAGATTTATGCTGTGTTTTTAGAAATGTCAGCAAGTCTCATATTTCATGTTTCTACTGGGAAAATGCAGCAGTGTGTCCTTTGTTAGTTAATAGTATGAAGCCAAGGTTTCACAAGGTTCCTGAGGTAAAGTTATCCGAGGTCATCTTGTCATCACGATGTACTGTTCATTTTAAATGCTGCACAGTGTCACTTTTAAAAAGCTGTAGTGAGGCTGGGCAGTATTGTGATATCATATCGGTATTGTTATACAAAAATAGATATCATCTTATATTGAGGTGTTGTCATATCCTGGTTTTAAAGGCTGCATTACAGTAAAGTGATGTAATTTCGAACTTAATAGACTGTTCTATTATTTGCCCTCCATTTAGTCATTATATCCACATAATGATGTTTAAATATTTTATGGAAGCCCCAACAGTCAACTCTACAATATCATCACAATATTGATATCAAGGTATTTGGCCAAAATATTGAAATATTAGATCATCTCCACATCATCCAGCCTTAAGCTGTAGTAACGCACATGTTTTGGTTTTAGCTTTTGATAAAGCATAAGGTTAAAGCTACTCTGCATTTTTCTTGTTTCAGGCATTTTCACTGAAGACATAGTTCTTTCATAATGAGTCACAAGTTTAATAAGACAGCTGGGCACTGTAGTTTCTGACAAACATTACTCACTCAGGAGGAAATAATAACAAACAATTTATTGGGGACTATTTTCTGTGGCGAAAGAATATACATTTGGTGCCCTAGAGTTAGTGTCTCCATCAGCAGGAAGGTGTATGTATATAAACTTCAGTTTTTATGACAGTGATGCAACAATTCATAATGAATTGTTAGATTTAAGTTCTTTGCTAACTAGCTAGTTCATTCATTCATTCATTTTCCATAACCGCTTATCCTGTTGGGGGTCGCAGGGAGCAGGAGCCTTTCCTAGCTGACATTAGGCAAGAGGTGGGGTACACCCTGGACAGGTCGCCAGACTATCACAGGGCTGACACATAGAGACAGACAACCATTCACACTCACATTCACACCTACGGACAATTTAGAGTCACCAATTAACCTGCACGTCTTTGGACTGTGGGAGGAAGCTGGAGTACCCAGAGAAACCCACGCTGACACAGGGAGAACATGCAAACTCGACACAGAAAGGCTCCCACACCCTGGGTTTAAACCAGGAACTCTCTTGCTTGCTAACCACTGTGGCGCCCACGTAGCTAGTTAATATTGTCAAATGACGTTTGAGACGTTTGAGCTCAAGTCAAATGAACACACGAGCCTCCTACAATGGTGACTGCATTGTTCCCAGGTGTACAACATCATTTGGACAATCTGCCTTCTCAGTAAAAGGCGTTAACCTATGGAACACTCTACCCACTCACCTGAAACTGGAGACTGATACAAATGCTTTTAACAGAGGACTAAAAGCATGGTTAAAAGCAAAACAACAATGTTCACATGTATAAATATGGACTTAGTTTAATATTGTTACTAATACCACGGTTGCGATCATGAATTTTGTTTGTTTTATCTCCTACTGCTGATCATATGCTCTGTGATCTTTGAATATTACTGTTTGCAATCATAACATCTGTTTGTTTTATCCCATTTGTTAATTATATGCTTTGTGTTTTTAGAATGCCGCCTATGGACTGGTGTTGAAAATTAGCACGTGTGCTACATACACCTAAGCAAAGGCATCTGGTCTGTCCACTGGGACAGTCTCAATGTATTTGTGATGTCCATATCAAATAAAATAAACCTAAACCTAAACCTAAATATTGTTTACATTTGTGTGGGGAGCCAGATTATTATTTGAGTAAAGAAAATCTCATGTTTCTCTCTTAATCTTCCTGAGCTTGACAAATACAATATGTAACAGCTGGGAGTTCATGTTTTCTTTTGATTTAGGGAAATATAATACAGCATATCCGGTGTTGTTAATCACAGTTTTTTTTTTAATTAAATTACAGAAACCCTTGAGTGTCAGAATGGATCAGCCAGGATTTCCCCGTCACAGCTTCGGTAAGTTAAATGCAACAGATTTAGATTCGTTTCAGCTCATTTCAGTTCAGTTTAACTCAAAGCTTCAAATGCATGAAGTCAGAACTTGTTATACTGCAGTTGCTGTAGCAAACAAACACAAATGTAAGTGAACCTAAACAAGAAACGCTTAAAGCTGTCCATCATTGGCTGCTAGAAGGTTTGTTGGACTGTGAAGTGTTTGAATGAAGTGGTAAGACAGGTTAACTTTGCCTTACAGCTACACATAGTGTACAGCCTCTGAGGTAACCAAATGTTGAAATTCAGACTGTGTCTGTCGGAGCCCTGTGGCTTGCACACTTACACGCTGTATATGATTTGAATTTATTTAAATTGTCAATGATCCCTGGGATGTTAATGCAAATTTAAGTACTAAACTCAGGAATTCAAATCACTCAGTTTAATCACCACTACACTTTAACGGCCAGAGACGATATGAATTCAGAGAGAGGCTGCACACAATAGCATCTGTCTGTCGAAGGTTGTGCAATCAAATACAACATCCTGTAACAAATGTTAACTCTGTGAAAACTGGTGCTTCTTCAGACCTTTACATTCAAATCTGCACAATATAATAACAAGGGTCATTACTTTCATTTACTGCTTTTCACAGAGTTTTTAAAAAGGAGCAGATAGGTGAAAACAGATTTGAGTGCATCTCCCCACACGCCCAAAAGTGTGTGTCCTGCATCATGAAGACACCGATCACAGCAGTTTACAGTAAATGAGGTCCCCTTAGGAATGTGCACACCTCATGAACTAGAAATACTAACAGATAAAAAAGAACAGAGGCTGCTGATCATGTGCCACAGTTCCTCAAAGTAAATAAAAGGCACAATTAGCAGTTCAGCTACAGTGGCTGCACTGCCAATTGTGTTTTTATCATCCAATTTTCACTTCCATTTTCAGCCCAGTCACCAGAATAAAATGCTGGCATTATACATTTCTGCAAACCACAGATATGTTAGTAGTAAGTTTAATACATATCATATCATTATTTCTGAAGTATATATGTATATGTATATGAGCTGAGTTTCTCATCAGGAGGAGGAGATGGTGGATGGTGTGACACCTCAGCAGTGTTCTGACAGATACAAGTGTTTTTTAACACACGTCTGGACATTTCCAGCACTGTTGCGACCAAAGCAGGTATTTTAAGCCAAGACCTGATCGTTTCCTAACCCTAACCAAGTGTTTTTGTGTCTAAAGCAAACATGTTAAACACAGCCCTCTTGCAACATTAAATTGAAAATTGAAATATAAAGTTCAGTTTAGTTTATTTGATTTATAAAAGAACAAGAAATTAAAACATGGTTGCACCAGATTTAATCCTACATATAACAGGTAGACGCAATGAATAAAAATAAAATTCAAGGTGCAATGCAGTCGGCCTGAGGACAATAAGCCTCTGGGGGTATCGGATATTTTGAGACAGGTACGGATGGGTACCGGTGCTGAATTTGCTCCGTGGCTAAATTATCAAAGATGCTAGTATTGATGAGCTGATGTTATCGGTTCTTTTATCGATACTTTTGCACATTTTTGTTTAAGTCATTAGGGCCTGCACAGATTTGATCACCAGCGATCGCCACACAATGCATGCCGGTTAGTTTTGTGTCTGACTTCATCCCAATTTGCTCTGACGTCATACAGAAGTAGACAGTAGCTATGTTTCCATCCAAAAGTGATTTGAATCATTGGGAAATGCGCATTAAAAGAAATACGTTTCCTGTGTGTTTCCATTAAATGTGCGGACTTTGGTGAAAACTGTGAACTTGCGTGAGTTTTCCGCAGAACTGGAAACAAAACAAGTCTCGCATTCTTCTTCTTCTATGTTTTCTGGCGGTTGGCAACCAGCTTGTAAATGCATTACCGCCTTCCCGACCCAGAGTGTGGATATCACCATGGAGAGAGGTGCGCTACGTCAGACTTAATTTGAACATAACTGTTTCCATCCCCCGTTTTGCGAATCAACATTTTTTAGAATGAACCAAAACCCGGCTAAAGCGAGCGTATTTTAGTTTGTGCGAATCAGGGGATTTTAATTCGAATTGTGGTGTTTCCATCATAATTTTCCGATGCGATACTTCTAGATGCGCATCTAAACAGGCTGATGGGAACATGGCTAGTGATAATCTTGATATAGTGAGTTTTTAGAGCCAGGTGCTGCAGTTGCTCTCCACTAACTGTAAGATCCAGGGCATGATGGGAAATGCCTGGCTCTCACCTGATGTAACAGCTGATTGGTTTAGATGTTGACTCAGGAATATGATGTTTTAGATCATCTTTTCATTTTTGTTGAATTTGAGGGATTTAGATTTTATTTGTCTGATTTGAAGGTTTATTATGTGAACAGAAAACATGTTGTGTGACTGATGGTAAGGTTTAGTCATCAGAGACTAAATACATTCATTGTAAACTATACATTGTCTATTGTATATTAACACTGGACTGTTTTGATCATTGAAGTAGCCTATTTAGCATCACAGAGATTGGTCAGTGGGATGTGAGGATTTTTAAAATAACAGCTATACAGATGTGAAGCCCTGACTATATCTGACTGAACTGTTTTTCCTCTGAAAATGTTAACCGTATAGTCAGACACTATTTATTTAGCCTATGTAGCTGTAACTGATATGATGCTGATTTACAGGAGAATTAATTTAAAATGGTGGTTAAACCATGAACATTAATTACAGATCGCCTGTGAAGCATTTTGATAGGTCACTCTGTCATAATTACAAAAAGTGGGGACTGAAAACAAACCTATGTATAAGTCTGACAATATTTTAATAAATAGACATCCTATCAGGCAGGAAGTGAGTGTTTCTGTGACTTCCTGTACGGACCTGTACGGAGTCAGAAAACTGTCCAACTTGACCGCAGTTGTTTGTGTCACCGCCTCCTGCTGCAGCCGCCTGCTCGTGTTTACTTTCCAGGTGAGGCGCAGCTCATCTCGAACGAGCCTATCATCATCCTGCAGCCTCTCACCTGCACTCTGTGGAGGGGCTGACCTCCTCCTTCTCACACACACACACACACACACACACACCTACACACAAACACCTACATGACATGGCAGTTGAGGAACAGCCGAGCGGCCATGGTGGAAACAAAGTGAAAATAAATGAAAAATTACTCAAGTTGATGGCAACTACACTCATTAATGTAAGTGACATTAAACCCTAGTAAGAAGTAAGAAGCCAGTACTTTATCAATTCATGTGTTCAGCAAGCATGAAAATGTAAACATGTAGACAGCAATATTCAATATGCTCTGTCCACAGTCTCTGACGTTATGGGTCATAAAGACAGAGGGATGTTGTATGCTGTAAAGCCCTGTGAGGCAAATTGTGATTTGTGATATTGGGCTTTATAAATAAAATTGATTGATTGATTGATTGACAAGGACAGCACGCTAGCTTGGCTGTTAGCGAATTGTTACTGATAAGCTCAAATGACAGCTGTCTGTATGTAGACTAACTTAGTTTGACACTTATCTTAGAATACTTTGGAACTTTGGAACTTAACTCTCAACTCTCTCTACCAGCACTAATGTTACCTGCACACAGTGAATCACATGAGCTGAGAGGGAGCAGGACAGGAGGAATGTCTTGTAGTGACTACTAAAAACTAACCTTGTTGTAAAAAATACTGTTGCTGCTCTGGAAACATTTAGTTATTTTTAAAATATTCAGTTATCCTGTTCTGAATTTATTCTTTTTAGATTAATTCATTTTCTAAAAAGCAATTATTTAGAAATGAAAAACAACAGATAAGAGTACCAAAAAAGTACCATATTGATAAGGAGTATTGATAAAAGTAGTTGTATGATAAAATCTTAGGGTGGGGGAGCCCTTCTGTGCGGAGTTTGCATGCTCCCCCCTTGTCAACGAGTGTTCTTAGGAGAGACTTAAAGGAAGCCAGTGACTCAGACAGCCTTATGTCCTTATATCGTTATACATGAAGACGTGATTCACCTCATAGACCCTTACCATTACCCTAACCCTAACCTTAAACACCTCTCTTTTATCCTAACACTTCACAGCTAGCTAAACGCTAACTTAGCATTTCCTTCAGGGCTTCAGGGCAAAAAGGGGCTGACCTAGACTGACTTATAGCTACGGTGGGCGGGTCACGAAGCCGCTCCAACTGCAGCTATACCTACTTTAATATTTTGGACAATCCAGTGTAGCAAGCGGATATCCGGGCCAACACTTCCTCTTCTGTCCGTGGTCATTTCAGTTAATCTCTATAAACATACATTTGCATATGAATGAAGATGAATTAAAGAAGGCTAATATAAAGCTAAACGGTTGTCAGATGATAGCTGATGGGTTCCAAAATTGCATTTCGGCCATGGACTTTATATGAAAGATGGATGCCACATCTGCACTTACCCCGACTGTACAACAATGAAGCCAAAATATCCCGGAAATGGCAGCTGCCGTCTTGCACTGCTGACGTCATTTGGGGCCAAAGTCTGCACAGTAGCATTCTCCGCCTGTACCAAGTTCCTGTCCATACATTCGTCCGACTAATTGCAAGCAGCGCCATTGAGCGTCCAGAGTGATAAGAGCTACCTAAAATGACAGAAACCATCTTTCTGTTTTAAGTTTTTAGTTTGGCCACTAACATGAAGGGGACGGGATTTTTGTCCTGTACTGCAGCCAGCCACCAGGGGGCGATCAACATGATTTGGCTTCACTTTTAGGGAGCTATCAGATCTTTTCTTCTGTACAGTTCAGAGAGTTGGCGAGTGGTCAAAATAGACATGATGAGAGTGGAGGCCTTTCACAATGGATGCCTCAGAGGAATATGCCAGATCTTCTGGCCAAACAAAATCTCCAACCTTAAACTGTACAAGAAAACAGGTAGTTGGAGCATCACCAAGGAAATAACCCACAGACTTTTGAGATGGCTAGGCCATGTGGTAAAATGAAATAGGGCTGGATCACAAGAGTTGGCTTAAGATGGACACCA